AGACGCCCCAGAGATCAGACTTGAAACCTAAATGGCCCATTAATTTTACAGAAACGTGCGTATAAAGGCACCTGGACTGTGCGCAATGGATTTGTGGGAAAGAGGAGAATGAAAAGATTTTTGCAATCACCACACACACGCATAAACACATGTTTGGTCAACGGCAAAGGCAACAACAAACGAAGCGGCTCTGTTTCATTAGCGTAACTTCGACCGACGTACTTGATGCCACAACAACACAATTCACCAACACAAAATTCAATAGCAGCATTTAATAGTGATAAAAGTAGGACACCATTTACTGACTAAACCTGTGAATGCAGCAAAGGGCATCAAGGTAACCGCAACGGACAATGCAAACAATGACAACGCCTGAGTCACATAGGAGCGATTGTCTGTGGAATTATAGAATGTTAGGCCGTCCAACGATGTGCTTGTAACTTTCGCCAAATTTTCCAACCAAGAAAGTCCAGTTCTTACACCCACTAGCCATATATCGAAATTGTTTTGACTATTTGCCCCATTTTAGCATCGTATATTTACCTGTTTGATGGCTTAGAGGCGAAAGCGACAGAAACTACTTAAACAGAAGTAAAAGCAAACACGATTCGCCCTAATTCAATCAATCTCATTACCAGGACTCTGTCACAAGCCTTGCACCACAGGACTCCCTCCCTTCCCCTACCAAGCGTTTAAAAAAGGCGTCACTTTGCCGCCTCTCCATTGTCTCATCATCACACCCCAAAACACACCCAAATTCATTTCGAGCGCCACAAGACCGTCCACACCCCATGATCACCTACCAAAGCAGAATGCGTGTCAAATTTGCGATCGTAGTAACATGGCAATGAGGTGAACTGGAGGGTTCTCTCGCCCCTGCAGCTATGTTCACAAGTCGATATGACCAAAAAACCTCACTTTACTTAAACTACCCTCTTGCATGCATCTCTCACTTTCGAGGGTGTCAATCACGATCAAAACAGCACAGGAAAAAAACGACAATCATGTTTCATATGACTCATTCCACAAAAAAGTGCATCAGTAGGTATTAAATCAAATACAAGACACCTTTTCTACCTCAGGGCTGACACAGCCGTTAACCAACTTCTGCCTTTCACATATGACATTGCTGTTAACAGTAACGAAAGACAGCTATCGCATTCGTGTGCCAATAGTACCCAGCACGTGTAATTATGCTTTCAAGGAGCGTTTCAGCTCCAAATGTGCAACTCCACTAGTTCACATTCATTCGAGATTTTTACTAAGGCGGTACCGTGACAATAACTAAATGAGACGACCGACTTCAACAGGCTAAATAGCTACTATCACTCGCCCAAGTTTATAGAACGGCAAAACCACAATCAAAAGTGGAGGTAGGCAGAAGAGGAGAAACAAACCTGAAGAAGTTGAGGAGGCAATAGAGGTGGTTGCGTGATGGAGCCAACTCCCGGAGCGGGTGGCGTTTGATGCGACTTGCGTGGGTACGCCAAGTCGAGGTGGGCGTATATGTCCTTTGGTGACTCCGGGATGAAGCATCCATACTCGCCTGGCGGCGTCCGACTCTCTGTCTACAGGGTACAAACACAAACGCGTAAGCATTCTCATTAATGTTAGGTGCGAGTCCGCGGTCGACGACGCACAAACCCCACCTACCTCCGTTGATACAGTCCTCGCCACACCACTACTCGAGTTGCTACCTTTTAGAAGCCTATTCTGTCGTCAAGTCAAGACAGACTAACAACCTACGCACCCCATAGCCAACATGCACACCCATTGGACGAACACTGGGAAAAATATTTGCCTCAAAACGAGCCTTAAAAATTTCTTACTTTCTATTCACTTGCTCCTCTCCACTATTGGCTAAAGGCTCAAATGCTGCAACCGCACATACCAGCACATTTAAAATTCTCCTCATACTCCATCACCAACAATGAAACTCCGTAAGAAGTACATAATAGGAATCGAATGCACCATAAAGATGTCAGGAACTAAGACAAGATCTTCGACATTTTTTACTCAACAACTCAACTGTATCTCTCACTTTTGATATACACATCCTCCCCAAATTTCACCTAAACTAGACTTCCATATGCAAATCATAATACATTCACCTCATCCCATTTCAGTGCTACTGATTGAGGTGGACTAAAGACACTGACACCGTCACAATTCCACAGGAAAGCAGTTTTTAACCAAAGTAACGGAATCGATTCAGTTACCAGGACTACTACGAGTCAGTCCGATGTACAAGGCCACGGTGGCAACGCATTTGCTAACCTCTGTACTTAGAAGTAACGTAAAAGGGAGTTTAAATGAGACTCGCTTCCCACGGTCTGTACGAGTGCAGGGTGCCTGATAATCTTCATGTATGCGATGGCGCCCGAAAAGCATCTAGCCACATAAGTCTAACCTAACGTCCTACTGCTATCACTACCACCACCATGTCCACACTTCCAAGACCAAGACCTTACTGAAATCTGCTATCAAGGTCGTCAGAGTTGATAATGAAAAGATGCAGGTAGAAGAAGTGAAGGCAATGAGCGGAAAGTTATCTACGTTCCCAAATTAATGAATGTCGGTCTGGAGATAAAGATCTCGAACCTTGACGCGTTTTTTGGATTGGCCTTGAAACTAGGTTAAAGACTGTGGATATTACTCACGCTTAGCTACTGCAATGACCGAGGTTAGGCCTATTTCAAAGCCGAAAAAAATAGGCGGTGGCTTCCCGTTAAGTGTTTTGCAAAGCACTCACAGAAGGGACTGATTCATGCACCATTTCATGGCCATAAGACTATGGCGGCAATGTGTGTGCCTGGGTTTGTCCACGGACGGAAACAACCATGTGCTGAAGACGTAACAATTATGATTGAAGTGCACCAACCTGATGCAGTATGATACAATCCGAATATCTGCTCCTTTTGTGAATGCATCGAAGTGTAGTAACCTATCTAGACAAAAGTCAACTTTTGCCGACACAACTCGAAACCATATATTTCATGGTCTCTAGTTCGTACGCATAGTCTGCAGCACCACAAGATTTAGCAGTGGGAAGATTTCCCATTTAGGTTGGGAGAAAAGTATTGCCTCATCTCCGTCACAACCCCTCGTCTTCCAGGGTCCAAATGATGACATTGGCATTAGCACTGGACCCAAATCACCACATGATCACGTGAAGTAGAGGTTAAAATTGGCAACAAAGGTGGGCAGTACAAGACTCTTAAAGGCTTTCAGGGGATTAAATGAGTCATGTGCATGTGAACATCGGGAAAAACATCCCTGCGCGAAGCTGAAATTACAAATCCTGACAGTTCAGAAGCCGTGATTCCGTTTTGGAGAATGAGACAGCAGTGCAGTCAGGAGAGAATCCTCTCCATTTTCCCTTTTCCTATCAAAAGTCTAGCCCAAGTCGTAAATACAATTAGACTCCTGATCAAAATAACTGATGAGGAGAAGTTGGTGTTTTTAAAGCGAGATGCACCCTTACGAGTGCGTCCCAACGTAAAATATGCAAATGCCCAATACGAGATGAGGAAAAATGACAGAAACAACAAGGCTAGATAGTTCACAGGGCAAATGCTTACCAAG